TTAACCCTTTGACTGTTAACGCCGTATAAATACGTCTTACACTCCACTGTTTCTGATGTATCTATATGCATAAATTCTAGTGGCTTCAAATCAAGCAGGAGAAAGCTGGTAGGCCCACATGTGAGAGAATGGGTCTCCATGGTCAGCGTGCACCATATAAAAAAAATTGGGGAGCCAGTGGTGCATTGTGGGAATGCCATTTCCGTTGTCCTTTTTCAGCATGCCTAGCAGTAAGAAATATGTGATTCCCCAGCAAATGTGGGACTCTCCCCTTCCCCAAATGATGCTCTAACAACAGATGAAAGGTCAGTGAGATCAATTTCATGGTTTTGAGGAGTTTGAGACCAAAAGCAAATGCCTAGGATACCAGAAGAATGGAGGAGGAGGATGAGGAGGGAGGAGGAGGAGGGGGAGGAGGAGGAGGAGGAGGAAGGAGGAGGAGGAGAGGGGAAAGGGGAGGAGGAGGAGAGGAAGGGAGGGAGGGAGGGAGGGGAGGGAGGAGGAGGAGGAGGATGAGGGGGGGAGGAGGGGGGGGGAGGAGGAGGGAGGAGGAGGAGGTGGAGGAGGAGGAGGAGGAGGGAGGGAGGGGGGAGGAGGAGGAGGAGGAGGAGGAAGGAGGAGGAGGCAGCATGGGCATGGGCATGTTCCCTTGAAGCATGAAAACATTTCACCCCATGACAGTGACAAGATAAGGTGAGATAACATCTGATAAGAGCTGATGTTTGATGAGCATGAAGGAGGGTGGAGGGAGGGTACAGCTGATAAGAAAAGATTAGATGACCATCCCCCTCTCTCTGTTTTTGCTGGTACACAAACATTTCTGTCTATTTGTCTGTCAAGCTCCCTGTCTATCCGTCTAGCTCCCTGTCTCAGAGAGAGCCACAAGACTGCATCATCACGTTTACTCACATCTTCAAGCACAGTATAGCACTTTGTCTGGATTTCTTGGGTTATCCTAGGTAATTTATACTATATATACTTGTATTTATGTGTACCTGTGAGACAGAGATAGACAGACAGACAGAAAGAGAGACAGATTGAAAGAGATAGAATGAGGGAGAAAGATAATTAGATAGAATGGAGGGGAAGCAGCATCCAACCCCATTGTTTTGACAGGCGGTAGGGGGAGTGAGTAATGAGACAATATGTCATTTTGACATGTAGAGAGAATGGAGCGAAACAGAATAACTTCAAGAGTGTATCAGTCTGTAGTGGAAGGAAGGCGGGATAGGGGTCGGCCTAGGAAAGGTTGGAGGGAGGGGGTAAAGGAGGTTTTGTGTGCGAGGGGCTTGGACTTCCAGCAGGCATGCGTGAGCGTGTTTGATAGGAGTGAATGGAGACAAATGGTTTTTAATACTTGACGTGCTGTTGGAGTGTGAGCAAAGTAACATTTATGAAGGGGTTCAGGGAAACCGGCAGGCCGGACTTGAGTCCTGGAGATGGGAAGTACAGTGCCTGCACTCTGAAGGAGGGGTGTTAATGTTGCAGTTTAAAAACTGTAGTGTAAAGCACCCTTCTGGCAAGACAGTGATGGAGTGAATGATGGTGAAAGTTTTTCTTTTTCGGGCCACCCTGCCTTGGTGGGAATCGGCCAGTGTGATAAAAAAAAAAAATTTTACATAAAAAAATATACAGCATAATTTTGGGAAATTATTTTCCGCACTGCGGCCAGGCGGAGGTCGCTGCTAAACGACTCAAGTTACTCCTTCCTTTAGGAGATGATTCCAGCCGGTTCTGGCTTGAGTGGCTGTTCTTCTAGTAGGTCTTACTGCAATTTCATCTTCCTGCATCACTTGGTCACCGTTACCTTTAGTATCACTCGTGTCACTTTCCCTTAGATTTTCATTTACCTTTGATTGAATACCATTTAATTCCAAGGGAATCAGTTTATTAATTGTGCGTAAACTTTCCTATCCACAACACAACACTTTGACATTCCGGACAACACCTTGGGTATCGGGGTACAATGTCAATACTTTGCCCAGAGGCCACAGTGTTCGATGTTGTTCAGTATCAATTAACACAATGTCACCTGGTTGAATGTTCTGTCGATTTACTGCCTCTGTCGCACCATAAAAGTGTTCACGTAGGGTAAGAAGATATTCCTTATGCCATACATGAGACCAGTTATCAATTACTTTATTTAACATTTTAAATTTATCACACAACACTGCTGCATCATTGTAATCTTCATCACTTTCTTCCGGATTATCTCTATAGACAGGGGCAGCTTCCAATTTCCTTCCACATATTAGGTGAGAAGGTGTTAATACATCTGCATCAGGTGTATCGCTCATGTACGAGAGAGGCCTATTACTTATCCGATTCTCTGCCTCCACTAACACTGCACGGAATTCTTCTAAATTAATTCTCTTCCGGTGTAGTACTTTACGGAGACACCTCTTCACTGTGCCTATCAGTCTTTCGTACAGCCCCCCTCCCTGCCAAGGGGCTCTAGGAGTAATAAATTTTCAGGTACACCCTCGTTGGGTTAACAGAGATTGAACATCGTTACTCTTATTTAATTCTATCAAGTGTTGAGCACCCGCTACAAAATTTGTGGCATTATCCGAAATCATCAATCTCGGACAGGATCTCCTAGCTGCAAATTTTCGAAACAGCTGTATAAACTGTTCTGCAGACAAGTCCTGAGCCACTTCTAAATGAACTGCCCTAGTAGCAGTACAAGTGAACAAGCATACATACACTTTCAGTGGAACACCATCTGAAGTACCTGTTAAAATGATTGGACCACTATAGTCTACACCTGTTACATCAAATGGTTTCACTAATTGTACATGCTTCTTTGGCATTGGTGGAGGACCTGGGTACATATAGGATCTGGCATCCACACGGCGACATATTACACAAGATTTAATCACACTTTTTACACTTTGCCATCCTTGTGAAATCCAGAAAGTTTCCCTAATACAATTTAAGGTATCTTGTACCCCACTATGCATTACATTTTTATGGGCATTTAAAACAATTAAATTTGTTAGATGATGAGTTTTGGGCAGTAAGATAGGGTGTTTAGCATAATCACCCTATTCAGAATTTTGTAACCTACCTCTGCACCTAATTACATTGTTCTCTAAATACAGCCCCAATTTCCCTATTATGGAACCTATCACAATTTTTCTTTCCATCATCAATTTAATCTCATTTCCATAGATTTCTTCTTGTACCCTCTGTATCTAATATTCAAGAGAATGGGAAAACTTATATGAGATATTTATCTTGTTTAGAAATTTAAACACCAACTTAGTTACATTGATTAGTTTGGGTAAAGAAGAATACCTATTTATATCACTGGCTAAGGAAGGACAAACTATTGGAGCGGTGATCACAGTAATTTCAACAGGAGCAATATACGCCTTTTGTACAGGCCAATTAGCTTTATTTACCAACCAGCTCGGTCCTTTAAGCCATGATACAGTATTTACAAATTTAGCATAAGGTAAACCCGAGATAAGAAATCAACCGGATTCTCCTCACCAGGTATATGATTAAATGTTAACATATGCTGACCCAAACTATTATACTTCTCTTGCATCTGATTAATTTCAGCAACTCTGTTTTGTATGTACACAATTTTACTGTTTCCATTACGAATCCATTGTAAGGATACCTCATTATCAGACCAAATTACAGTGTCGCTAATATTTATCTCCTGCAACTTATTTCTTATATAATTTGCTAATTTGACACCTACATAAATGGCTGTTAATTCCAACTGAGGTAAGGTATGTGATTTAATTGGAGACACTTTAGCCTTAGACACAACAAGAGAAATAATTCTATTACATTGAACGTAAGCAACTGCTCCATACACCAATTTTGAAGCATCACAAAAAATGTGGAGTATATTTTTCCCACCTGGATTGGCCACCTGGCGTGGGAACTCCAACATTGGAATTTTTTCATAATCACCAATTAATTCATCCCACCTGTTAATGAATTCCTCAGGTACAGTTTCATCCCAAGCACATTTAAGCTTCCATGCTTGTTGTATTAATAATTTCCCTCTTATAGTAAGAGGTGACACTAAGCCTAGTGGATCAAAACATTTGGAGACTTCAGCAAGCAAAACTCTCTTAGTTAATTTATTGGGCATACTGTATTAGGTTTTAACATTAACAAATCTCTCTCAGTATCCCAAGTTTATCTCAATACATTACTACATTTTGGTGCTTTATCTCCAGGGTAATCTTTACTTATTTTGTCCTTGAATTTGGACAAATTGCTATTCCATTCCCTCAGAGGCATATTTGCACTCTGCATTATTTTATTAGCCTCTCCATAAATCATTAACAGTTCCTCTTCAGTTGATGTCACACCCAGGAAATTGTCCACATAAAATTGTTTGCTCATTACTTTACTCAATGGACTTCCTGTACGTTTAAGGTGTGCATTTATCATCGCTTGAAGTAGGAACAGACTGGATGTAGCACCAAATAATACGCTCCTAAAGCGAAAGGTTTTCAGAGGGCTAAGTGGGTCACTAGGATTCTCAGGCCATAAGAAGCGGGTACAATCCCTGTCAGCCTCTTGTAAACCTACTCTTAGGAAAGCTTTACTTATGTCAGCCGTAAAGGCATAATTCTTCACCCTGAAATTTAATAAGATATCTCCTAATTTTTCCGTCAGCGACGGACCTGTCATCAAACAGTCATTTAAACTGGTTTAAATGACTGTTTTAAGCCCAGTATAACCCCTAGAGCAACGAAAATTTATGCACAATTCATTAGTGTGCCTGCACCACATTCAAAACAGTGGCGTCTCCTCCCAGCTCGTCAGCGCAGTCACAGAGCTTCTCGATTCTCTTCTTTAAAATACACTTTAGAGCAATAATAATGTATTAATCAGGTATATTTACATTACAGATATGCTTCTGTGGAAATTATTTTCCACAGAAGCATATTTGTTTACACTTATAACATGAATGTGTTGAAGATGTACTAAGTCCTGAGGTAGAGGGTTGTAAGTCATCAGGGTTTTCAGTGTTGTTCTTGGAGTTTTCCCTCACACTTTTGGCCACTAGCAGCAACAGCCTGGTTGATCAGGCAAGCACTAGACAAATCTGGCCCAGGAGGCTTTGGATGTAGGTAAACTCCCAAAACATCAAAGATGTAAGGTATCTTAAGATACTTTGTCTCATTTCCGTAGAGCTCCATTTCTGAATCACTATCCACCTGTTAGAACAGTCATTGTTCAATAATAACAGGTTAATCAACATGACATGATGAATACTGGTTGACTAACATGGTGTTTCCATTATCCATTGCTGTGGCACTCAGTTTTTTTTGGTGCACACACTGACCCCAGTTTCTGCATAGTACACACACCAACCCCAGTTTTTGTGTAGTGCACATACCAACCCAGTTTTTGTAGAGTGCACACACTGACCCCACACACCCATTTTTCTCATGCCTAGGCCTGCCTGGCCTCTCATCAAATTTAAAGGTGTTACGATTTACAGTAGACCGTTATATTACACGGTAGTTACGTTCCTGAAAACGCACTGTTAGGTACAGTAGACCGTTATTTAACACGGTAGTTACGTTCCTGAAAACGGCGTGTTAGGTAAAGCCGTGTTAGATAAACTGAAGAACTTATGGGAAAAATAGGGTTACATGCCTAGGAGCCCCTAAAAAGCCATACAACTTTTTTTTAGTCCAACAGATCTTTCAAAAAAAAGTGAATATGTAATTGTAGTTCATTGTCGTGATATATTACTACTTAAGACTACAAATGCAATAGAAATAATAGTATTTCTTATCTTAAATTGTGGGTAATGGTGTTTGTGGATGATTGTGAAGAGAGTGGGTATGCATGGTGTGGCCCATACTGGGCTGAGGTGGATGGTTGTTGGTTGTCGGCAGAAGTAGATGGTAGAGGTTCTACTACTAAAGTTGATGGTTGTATTGGAGCGTGCATAAATTCTGTAATGGATCTCTGGGCTCTTTTACCCTGCAGAACATTATACAGCTGATGGTAAGGCATCATCAGCTGGTCTAGACCCCATTTCAAAGCACTGCTTCTAGCTTTGTCAGAGTCCTCCTCAGTGAAAAAGTCTACAACTCTACCAATAATATGGAACTGCTCACGTAACTCCTGTAATGTTAACTGTTTTTCTAACAGTTTTTCTAACTGTTAACATTACAGGAGTTATGTGAGCAGTTCCATATTACTGGTAGAGTTGTAGACTTTTTCACTGAAGAGGACTCTGACAAAGCTAGAAGCAGTGCTTTGAAATGGGGTCTAGACCAGCTGATGATGCCTTACCATCACATAACTCCTGTAATGTTAACTGTTTTTCTTCATCTTCTGTTATGTGGCTCCCTTGTATCTGTGCATCGAGCTCTGCCAACATTTCCTCTGAACTCCTGTTTTCATCATCATCATCTTCTAAGAGCTCGTGGACATCTTCATTCATATCTTCAAAACCATCACCTGATAATCTCCTTGCCAGCTGAACAATTTTATGGAACTTGACTCTCAAGCAAGGGAAAACCAGTGAAAGAATTAACTACAGACGGCCATAACTTTCCCCATCCTGCATTTAATGTTGATTGAGGCACTTCATTCCATGCACGTGGGTCCTGGGACAAGGGTGGTGGGAGTCGTGGAGGTGGGGGTGGCAGGGGATGGCGGTAGATCTTCCCCGTTGACTCAGTGGTCTAACCCACAGCCAGAAGTATCCCGTGGGCGACGCTCCAAATTTTTTTCCCTTACGTAAACTGAACCGTGTAAAGTTAATTTTACAAAGTGTTGTATAAAATAGTGCCGCCATTCTTCAGTCGTGCTATAACCAAAATGTGCCAAATAAACTCATGTTGAATAACAGTCTAGTGTAAATCTGTGTTAGATAAACTGAAGAACTTATGGGAAAAACAGGGTTATATTCCTGGGAGCCCCAAAAAAGCCAAACAACTTTTTTTTTTTTTTTTTAGATCTCCAGATCTTACAAAAATGGAAGTGAATATGTAATTGTAGTTCATTGTTGTGATGTATTATGTTGTTTTTACTGCTTAAGACTACAAATGCAACAGAATTAATAGTATTTCTTACCTTAAATTGTGGGTACCGCCAGGCCCGTGGCCTGGTGGCAAAGCGCTCACTTCACACAGTGTGGGTCCAGATTTAATACCTGGCAAAGGGATGGAAACATTGGGTGTGTTTCCTTACACCAGTTGTCTATGTTTGTCCATTACTAATAATGGGTACCTGGTTGTTAGTCACCTGTGTGGGTTGCATCCTGGGACAGAACTGGCCTAATTGGCCCGAAATGCTCTGCATGACAAGCAGCTTTCTATATATTGTAGTAGTATGTCATTGATGTCAGCTAGGCATGTATACCTTGTACATATGCTCATAGAAATAAAGATATTATTATTGTGAAGAGAGGACGACGTGCAGCAAGGGCAGGTGTCGAAACACTTTTGGAGTATTTGGAGCATCCACTGTCCACAGCCCATTTGAAAAGTTATGGTCCTGTGGTCCGTGAAATCCAGGAGGCTGTTATTCGAGCCCAGAGTGTCTGGTCCCACTGCCAGACGACATTGAACTCGTTTTTTAAACCTACAATGCCGTCACCGATGGCGATAGGGTATGGATGACGATATGACGGTACAGATGCGCATTTTTTCCCTCTCACGTATCCAGAAACTCTGTGTTTCCAAACCGGTCTCGGCCCATATAGTTCAGATATGAGAGATATCACTGTACTTGTACTTGTAGAAATAAAGATATTATTATTATTATCTTTCTTACTGTTGCTTGTAGGTTTGCAAAGATAAAGGAGGTTATTCTGTTTGTGTTGCTTTGCACCAATAATTATGTTGGTAAATTTATTACTGGTGAAATTGCTGGAAAGTCCAGTATTGTTCCCATTTGTATTATTGTGCTTGGTATTCTTCTATCCAGTACATTACCATTTGGTTGTAATACGTAATAATGTTGGTAGACTTACCCACAATATGTTCATCTAAAGTATGCAGTAGTGCAGTAGCGCAACTAATGCAACATTTAATTGTGGCAACGTTTCGCTCTCCAGGAGCTTGACTAGTTGTAATGTGGCTAGAGTGGGTGCTCTGGTTCTACCCAGTATGGTTTGTGTTTGTAACATTTTGGGACAGTATTTTTGTTTCTGGTGAGTGTATAACCTGTTTTGTATTCCCCAGTGATTTGTATTCATAATGTCCCACCTTTTTTTTTTTTTTTTTTTTTTTTTACCCCATGCCTAAAACAGATTTGTTTTGAAAACATATAGGTCTTCTCACATGCATTACTGGGCATTCTAGGTCGCAGCACTTCCTTTCCGTAAGTAAATCATTACATATTTCTGGGTGAGAGTCTACTCTTTCTGAAGGTGGCATTTTCATGCTCCTAGAACATTTAGGTAATTTCTGGGTATTTATAATAACATTTAATACTATATTTACCTATTCTTCTGGCCTGTGTTGGCACTCTGTGAAAATTTATGTGCTTTCTTTATTTCTGACTAGTTTTTTCTTACTGTTTCTTTTTGATTTATTGTTTCTTTACTTTCTTCTGATATTTGGGAATCTTTATTCAGTTTAGTTTACCCTCCCTCTCACCTGTTGTCTTAACCCTTTCAGGATCAGTAATGGTAATGACACCAAAAGTACAGAATTTGATGGAAAACTTATGAAATTACGCTCTCACGAAGTTAGCGATATCAGCAATATTTAAGGCATCGGCGATTTCGCCCACTTTGAGTCCTATTTTCGGCCAGTTCCATTGTTCCAGTAAGCTAAAAATCATAGCTATTTTGCTAGAACTCCATTTGTTCTGTCGACTGAGTACAAGAAATCGCCCATTTACTGATTTCAACTCCCAGTAAAGTGGTCAGAAATTGGCAATTTGGCCAATTTCACACAAATTTCAAAAGATGCCAGTATCAAAATAGGGTCCACAATAAACAAAACAGACATTCCTGGCACTAAAATAACATTTTTTGTTCATTAATCACATCTCCAGGCCCCTTTTTTATTACTCTTGCTTTCCATTTTGAATCTTTATTCTCACAAAAAGTAGAAGATTTACTGTTATGCAGATTACTGCATTATTGTAAAAATAGTATAAATAATATCAGCGCACTTGTGAAAGAATATGAGACTCACCAGTTGACGTGTATTGGATGCATGATGTGAACATCAGCAAAAATCGAACATTTCCGCTACTTTGAGCTCAGTTTTTTTTCTCATTGTGCATTGCGCGCTGCAGGATTTTTCTTATGCTGCACACACTGACCATGCAGACCCATTCTTTCATATGTAGGCCTACCAGCTTTCTTTCGCTCAATTTGAAGGCACTAGAATTTTGGCCTATAAGCACGGCACCTACCCTGAAAGGGTTAAGCAATATATTCTAACCTTTCACTATCTTTGGACTGTTTGTGCTTTCCTGAACTTGGGTTATTTCTTTCTTCACCTTTGTGCTGTTATGAAGATTTTTCCATTATTCTTAGATAAGAGGTGGGCTTTCTAAGATTTTTTTTTTCTTGAGAAAGCCCTGTAAATAAATAAATTACTATAGTCTATATTGAATCATCTTCTAAGCAAATCCATTAACAATGAATTTTCCATGTAGTGTATCTGCTACTATCAGTGCAAATTGCATGGAATATCTCGGCATATTCTGCAAATTTTTGCCTTATGTGGAGTTTTGTAAGCTTTTACAACCCTTGCAAATTTCAACAGGTGGCCCAAAAAGAAAAATGAAAGTTTCTCTTTTTAAATTTAGTAATTTATACAAGAGAAGGGGTTACTAGCCCCTTGCCCTGGGCATTTTAGTCGCCTCTTACAACATGCATGGCTTACGGAGGAAGAACTCTGTTCCACTTCCCCATGGAGATAAGAGGAAATAAACAAAAACAAGAACTAGAAAGAAAATAGCAGAAAACCCAGAGGGGTGTGTGTATATATATGCTTGTATATGTATGCGTAGTGTGACCTAAGTGTAAGTAGAAGTAGCAAGACGTACCTGAAATCTTGCATGTTTATGAGACAGAAAAAAGGATACCAGCAATCCTACCATCATGTAAAACAATTACAGGCTTTCGTTTTACACTCACTTGGCAGGACAGTAGTTATTTCCTGATATTAATAAAATATAGTTCCTCTTGAAGGGGGGCTCCTTGGCGTGGTGAAGAGGCTCTTTTTCTGAG